GCGGCGAGCCCAGCCAGAGCGGGCCGCCCAATGACGAATTTACCGAAAGCGGCGGGCCGAAGCCTCACGCGGCACCCCGGCGGCCAGGCCGGCGAGTGGAAGGGGACCGACGGCAACTGCTGGTAAGCTGCACTGCCCGGGCGCACCATGCAACGCACTGCAAAGCTGGGCTGGCTGCCAGGGTGGTCGGCTGCCAGGGCCTGCAAGCTGCGAGTGAATTTAACACAAAGGCGTAGGCACCCATGGAACCGCGAGAGTACCAGGGTGGCCGAAGCCAAGTGAACCGACTGCCAAAAGCCGAATTGCGTGCCCAATGCTGAGCGTGAGCATCTGCGAGCTGCGGAGTAACCTCATGCCCGTGAGAATAAACACTAGGGGATAATAAAGTTCGGGGTTCAGGGAGAGATAATAAAAGTAGCCCAGCAGACCTCAGCATAATCTCGAAGTAAGAGATGATCAAGAGGAGACCAAGCCGAGCACGTTTTGAGACATCCTTGGCGTTTAGTTTCATAGAAATATCCTCAACAATGGCTTATCTCGCTGGAGGAAGATGTATATATATATATATATATATATATATAAAAAGAATAAGAATACAATAAAAGAAATGATATGAGGAGGAGAAGGACGAAGAGAAGAACAAATCTCGAGTTTCAAATCTATTAGATTTTATTTACAAGCGCTTTATGAAAATTGTTTTTTGTAAGTGCTCGTGTAGGGTAGCTCATGGGCCTCAATTTCCATGGATAATCAACCCCAGAGATAAAAAAGTTCAGGCGAGCGTGGGAACAGAGAGAAATATAAAAGAAGAAGAATACAGTAGAATAATAATAAGAAAGAAGAAGAAGAGGAGAATAAGAAGAGGACAAAGAAAGGAAAAATCCAAAGTTCCAAATCTATCAATTTTAATTTACAAGCGCTTTATGAAAATTGATGTTTTTTAAGTGCTCGTGTAGGGTAGCTCATGTGCTTCATTTTCCATGGATAATCAACCCCAGGGATAAAAAAGTTCAGGCGAGCGTGAGGACATATAGAAATATAAAAGAAGAAGAAGGAAAGTAGAAGAAAAATAAGAAGAGAAGAAGAAAATAATAAGAGAAGAAGAACGGAAAAATGGAAAGTTCCAAATCTATCAATTTTAATTCACAAGCGCTTTATGAAAATTGATTTGTTTAAGTGCTCATGTAGGGTAGCTCATGTGCTCCCCTTTCCATGGATAATCAACCCCAGAGATAAAAAAGTTCAGGCGCGCGCGGGGATAGCAACATCGCTTGATGTTGCTATCTCAACATAGCGTTTCGAGGTGATAATGAAGTTCGGCCTCAGCGCTCGCCGCCCAATGTGAATTTTGTATAGGGCGACGATAATCAACTCTAAACACTGAAGGGGGGGGGGTCCCTTTATTATCATCGGCATGCGGTTACCAGGGTGGCCGAAGCCAGGTGATCCAACAGCCTCGACTCGCATTGAATGCGAGTGAACTGAGCAACCGAAGCTGCAGCGCGGCCAAAATGGCGCGCGGGGGCGCCGCGATGCGGCCAGGGAAGCGATTCAGAGAGACCCGAGAAGCGTGCCAAGGCCCGGCGGGCGCAAGGGGTGGCGCCAGCAGAGTCGCGCACCGGTAGCCCCGAGACGGGGGGAAGCGCGATCCGCTGTCAGTGCGCCAGGGGCGGCGACAGACGGGAACGGACAGCGCGAGGGCGAGCGCCGGCACTGCGGCCGAGGTCGCGGCCGCGGCGCGGTGGGGCCACGGAAGTGCCGAGGCTAAACCACAGGCGCCCGCAGCTCCCGCCCAAGAGGGGAGGCGAACCGCGAATTGCGCGGGAACGGAAGCCAGGGCCGGCGGGGGGCGGCACCACCGAACTGGCGAGGGGGCCGGGAGCCCAGCCGCGGGGGGGCCACCCCAGCACGGGAGGGCGCAGGGGCGCGGGGGAGTGGCGCGCCAAGAAAATGAAAACATCTACAGCAGGCCGAAGGCCGTCGGGGGACAAGTGGACCACGGCCCCAGCGGCAGTCCGCGAGCCAGCATTGTTAGCAGGCCGCTGCCCGTGCCCCAAGGGCGGGGAGCAGCGGGGGCTGGGCAGGGAGCGGCGCAAGGGAGGTGGCACTGCCTGCAAGTCTGGCAACGACCAATACGAGATGTGCGGCCATTGCGTCTAGCGCGAAATAAACGGGGGCCACCGCGCGGGCCCTCGCCCCAGGCCACCATCAACCCGTGATGCCTGAGGACCATGCCAGGGGTGGCCTAACGGGCCCTGCTTTAGTTGGGAAGAGCGATAATATGGAACCGCGTTCCTTGGTGGCCTAACGGGCCCTGTTTCAACTGGAGAATCCGAGGCACAACCACGGCGAACTCTGCTGGCCTGACGGGCCCTGCACCACTTTGAAAGGTCCGCTGTCCCCAGGGGTGCCCGGTGAGCGTCTGGGCCCACGCGTCGGGGGCACGCGCGCCTGGGCAGCCTGCGGGGGAAAGGGGGGCACGTCCTGCAACCTGTCGTCACTGTGAGCTGCCTTGGTAGCGGAGAAGACGCCGCCCCGCCGACATTCTGCAGTACGGACCCCATTCTTCTTCGTAGTCTGTTGGCAACCAGGGGTGCCCAGTGGGTCGTCTGCGCTGGGGCGCCAGCAGGGCAAAGCCGCCGTCGTCGTTGGCGCGGTGCCGGCAGCGGCGGCGGCGGCGGCAGCAGCGTCCGCGGCGACAGCGGCCGCCGCGCAGCCCAAGGGGCCGCAGGCCGCCGCCGCCGCCGCCGGCGGGAACCGGCGGGGGCGGCAGCGGCCGCGGCAGAAGCAGCGGCGGCCGCGCCGCCGGCGGCCGCGGGGGCGGCCGCGGCGGCGCCGGCCACCGCGCGCTCCGCCGCCGCCGCCGCCGGCGGGGAACCGGCAGCGGCGGCAGCAGCGGGAGCGGCAACGGCGGCCGGGAAGGCAGCCGCGGGCAGGGCGCCCGCGGGCACGGCACGGCGTGGCGGGAGCCGTCGGCGTGCAGAGGTCGTGGCGTCAACGCCACGTGCTGGAGCGCTTGTCCCCCCTTCCGTCGCTGTCGTCACCGCCACGCTTGCCCCTGGCCTGCCAGTCATCGCCGCCCCAAGCATGCGACCAGGACCAGGTGTCCCAGACCCAGGGTCGCCGGGAGCTTGCTGCGCGCCCCTTGTACTGAGGGGCGCTTGTGCCCTGGTTCCCTGACCACTTGTCGCGCTCACGGCCCCATCTGACCTGGAGCGCACGCCGGCGATCCATCTCGTAGGCATCGTACCCACAGCGCTTCCAGGCGTCGAGGAAGGCGCGGCAAGTGCCTTCAGGGTTCCGAGCGGGGTCGCTCTTGGAGCCGTTGGCCCCTGCTGGGTGCTTGCGGGTGTAAGCGTGCCAAATGATGCTGAAAACTCCCCCGAGGGTCTTTTGGAGGCGGGAGATCTTGGCCGCAGGTGCTTCCCCGACCCTGTCTGTCAAGGTCAACTCTGCCCAACAGTTCCTTGCACATACGACCGCCATCGACGGGGTCGACCAGGTCGTCGAAGACCCGTTTTGAACCCCAGTCGCGGGGGTTGGCGAGCGGCTGTCTGGAGCTGGCTGCCTGGGGTTGGAGCTGGTGGCCAGGAGCTGGCTGACTGGAGCTGGCTGGCTGGAACTGGCGGTCGCGCCGCCGCGGGGGGGCTGGGGAACGGCTGTCTGACGCTGCGGCTGATGAGCTGCTGCTCCCCGGCTTGTTAGCAAGAGAGAGATGCCTGCGCGGGGGGTCGTGCCTGAACTTGGGCGGTGGACTGGCACTGACGTTACCCATAGCTCGGCCTTGCTCGGGCGGGCCTGAACCGTCCGCGTCCTGTCCGCTAGTGGGGATGTTTTTTTTGTCGGCGGCCGAGCGACTACGGTCTGGCGGCAACAAGCGTGTCCGGGACGGCGGAACACGCTAATTGCACACAAGGTGCGGCGCACGTGCACTGAGCAAAATGCTCCGCATTCGCCGTGACGCACCTTGGCGCCGCCTGGTCCAAAAGAACGAGCGCACAGTGGTGCGGGTGCTACGGGACGTCGCCCTTGCGGCGCCAAGCTCCGAGCATCACCCCAGACAAACAACTGGCACCAGCCCGGAGAACCGGCTGCTGGGGATGGAAACGGGCTGCCGGCGCTGAAGGCTGGACCACTCAGCGCGCAGCCCGCGAACACCACTACAGAGCTGTTGGGACTGGCGGCGGCCGACGGACGAGTCGGTACCGGTGGAAAGGGGTAGGGGCGCCAAGAAACACGGGCGAGGCTCCACACTCGCAAGGCAACCCGCCACAGTCACCCTCACCTCGGTGGACACCGCCGTCCTTCCGAAGTCACAGGGCCGACCGGCTGTGGGAGGGCTCCTGCAGCCCGCAAGGTGCGACTGGCGTGGAGAAGGGGGGGCGCAGCTAACCGCCGCAAGAGATACGTACCTGAATGGCAGCTGCACGCCGAGAGCGTATACACGTGTGGGGGGGTGCAGCTAACCGCCGCAGGAGTCACGTAGAAAGACGGGGGGGGGGCTGAACGGTGCTGGAGCTGTCCGGGCTGGAGTGTGCCAGCGCCGGAAGCGCCACTTGAACGGCCATGTTGCGCAGCATAACGCAACACAGCAGAAGAGGCACCTGTTAAGACTAGTGGGGATACGCGAAACGCTAAGAATTTCCATTGGGCTTCCATTAATGATTCGTACAGCCGCATGAGGGAGTCAAGGTCCTCTGATGGGCCCAAAAGCAGGCTGTTGCACCCGCGCGCACGTGCCGCGCAGCGCGCAATCCAGGCGGCGAAAGGGCCATGATGACGGAGGGTGGAAACAGCAGGCATGGCTACGTCTCACCTTCCGCATCACGGGACCCCCCAAAAAATAAAACGTCAAGATGATCATCACCCCCGTCGCCGCCGCCGCCGCCAAAGTCGTCGTCGTCGTCGTCACACATGGCGGCGGCTCTCGGCGGCGGCGGCGGCACTCTGCAACACTTGGCTACAGCACCCAGCGGCGCTCGGCGGCGTTCGGCGAAGGCCTCCGCCATCGGCCGCGGCGGGTGCGCGGCGAGCCGCCGCCGCCGCGGCGGCGCTCAACCGCAGGCCGCCTTCCCGCGCCGCCCGTCGCCAGCGCCAGCGGTCGAAAGGAGCACGACGACGACGGCGGCGGCAACGGCGGCGAAGGTGAGGACAAGGAGGAGAAGTGGACGAAGGCTAGGATGACGAAGACGACGACAACGACGGCGACGACGACGACGATGACGACGACGGCCTCCTCCTCCTCCTCCCCATCCTCCTCCTCATCCTCCTCCTCCTCCTCCTCCTCCTCCTCCTCCTCCTCCTGCTCAAGCCCACGTCCGCCCTCCTCCGTCCTCCTGCCGCTGCTCCTCTGAGTCCTTCTCTGTAGCACTTCGTCCGAAGGGTTCAAGGTTGGCCGAGCGTTTTCGAATGTGCGCAGCTCGGACGAGATGGCCGAGATGTGGCGGCCGTGTGATATTCCAATATGGATTTATGTCGATGGTTCCGGATTCGGTGTCTGAGGGATTGTCGGGAAAGACGCCCAGCGGGAAATGAAGTTCGTAGTATTCGTCACCGTCAGCATCACCTTCGACAGACTCATCGGCATCCGCATCGTCATCATCATGTGCACCAGCAAAACCAGTATCAGTATCATCGACCTCCTCCTCCTCCTCCACCACCTCATCATCATCACCATCGTCACCGCCACGCTGAATATAGCGTATCGTCACCACCATAAACCAGTAACTGCCAAATCATCGTGCTCATTCTCATCATCATCAGCAGCAGTACCAGTATCATCATCATCATCATCATCATCATCATCATCATCATCATCATCATCATCATCGTCGTCGTCGTCGTCATCATCATCATCATCATCATCAGTATCATCAGCATCATCATCATCAGCATCATCATCATAATCATCATCATCATCAGCAGCAGCATGAGCATCATCATCATCAACATCATCAGCAACATCATCAGCATCATCACCATCATCAGCATCCTCATCCTCATAGTCATATGCATCATCAGCAGTATCATCGTCACTATCACCAGTATCATCATCAGCAGCATCATCATCATAATCATAATCAGAATCGCCGTCGTCATCATCATCATCACAATCATCATCAGTATCATCAGCATCGTCAGCATCAGCGTCGCCATCAACCACCTAGACACCCTCAGCGTCATCATCATCGGCATCCTCATCATCATCAGCAGCAGCATGATCAGCATCATCATCATCATGAGAATCATCGTCATCAGCATCATCAACATCAACATCATCATCGTCAGCATCATCATCAACGACATCAACAGCATCAGCATCAACGATACCACCCTCACCTTCACAGTCAACAGAACCTTCCCCCATATCCCTGACCACCCCGAACACATCGTCCTCGTAGTTCACCACATAGTTTCCATCAGAAGTGTCATCCGCATGCTGGTCCGCACTCTCCTCATACTCAAACCCATCAGCATCAATAACACCACCAACAACAACAAGTCGTTTAAGATTGTTCGCTCTTCGTATCTCCCATGTCATTCAAAATGTAAATCCGACATTCTCGATCGTACCCCCATTTGGGGTGTGAATCGTCCTTGCACGCCACGTGTAGCTAGCACGGCCCCTGGAATAGGAGTAGGAGGGAAAATGAACAGGGAGAGAGCGAGGAAAGGAAGAGGAAACGAGAGGGGGGCAAGAAGAAGGGAGGAGGACTCAGGGCTAGGAAGCTTTAGCAGGAGGGAGAGGAGAGAGGAACAATGAATGTGGCACACGGACCCCAACGGGCGTGTCGGGCGGGCGAGGCAGAAAGCGGGCGGGAAAACTTCCCAACTCGCGGGCGGGCTGACCCTGACGGGCAGGCCAGGCGGGCGGACCCTAACGGGCGGGTCGGGCGGGCGGAACCCAACGGCGGATCTGGCGGGCGGACCCTGGCCTAGCGGGTCCAGCGGGACACTGAAGCGGGCGGGCTGGCTTCAAGCAGGCGATAGGACCCTAACGGGCGTGTCGGACGGGCGGACTCTAACGGGTTGGCCAGGCGGGCAGACCCTTGCGGAACCTAGTTGGCGGGTCGGGCAAGAGGGGCATGGAAACGAATTGTGCAAATTGGGAAGGGGCCTCAGGCGAGTTACGAGTCTGAGTACAGGGCAAGGAAGTCTGGTGCGAGAGTGCGAACCCTAGACGTCGAGGCGCAGCGTTAAAATGAATTGGATGTTCCAAGCGAGAAATCGCGATTGTGAAGCAATTGTGAGGAAGTGCCAGGCGGGAGCAGCAATTGTTGCAAACCGGGAGGGGCAACAACGCAGTCTGAAATTCAAGGCTTTACCGAAGGAAAAACAAGGGGCGAGCCGCGGGGGGGCGGAGGACACGACAATTGAAACATACAATGGGCACCAGAAGGACCAATAATAATCATGTTCAACAAACCCGTAACGATTAGCGTATCGTCCCCTTCGTCGCCATCATCATCATCATCATCATCATCATCATCATCATCATCATCATCAGCAGCAGCAGCAGCAGCAGCATCATCATCATCATCATCATCATCATCATCATCATCATCATCATCATCATCATCATCATTGTCGTTATCATCATCAAAATATTCATAAGCATCATCATCATCAGCATCATCATCATCATCATCATCATCATCATCATCATCATCATCGTCATCATCATCGTCGTCCTCCACCTCCTCCGCATCATCTGCATATCCACTACTACCACCACCACCATCATCATGAACATCATCACAAGTATCACCATTAACATCACAATCATCACCACCATCATCAGATTGATCATCATCGTCATCACCAGCACCAACGTATCATTGTCATTCATCGTCATCGTCATCGTCATCGTCATCGTCATCGTCATCATCATCATCAGCATGATCTGCATCATCATCATCGTCATCGTCATCGTCGTCCTCCTACTTCTCCGCCACCTCCTCCTCCGCATCAGCTTTTATAATCATCACCACCACCACCACCAGCATCAGCATCATCATCTTCATCAGAAAGATCACCATCATATTTTCAATTACAATCATCGCCATCGTCATCGTCATCGTCCTCATGATCATCATCCTCATCATCACCATCATCATCATCGTCTCTATCACCATCCCAGCCTTCACGTACTCACTCCACCTCCTCCTCCTCTTCATCATCCCGTCCCTCCTCCATCTTTCTCCCCCCTCGCCATACGCCCCATCCCAAAAGACTCTGAAAACCTCCAGGACCCTCCCCCACCCAGAATGCTCTAGATGTCTCACGCTGCACCCACATCCTGCCTCCCCCATCCCCCTCTTCCGCCCCCCCACCCTCGACACTCCCCATTATCCCCCCCCTCCCCTCCACCCACCCACCACACACCCATACTGTTCCTCCTCCTTCTTCCTGGTCCACTCCGACCTCCCTCTCACTGTGGCCACTGCTTCCTTCTCCCGGCCCGCTCCGTCTAGCTACATAGCGCCAGGCCTGGGCGCATGGAGCCTTCAGCTCTCCGCCCTTGAACCGCTCGTGCCGCGTCAGCCAGAATTGAACAGCACAAAAGTGGAGAGGGGGAGCTTTGGTCCCCCTCCCTGCATGTTCCTCTTCGACCTTCTAAGACTCGTACAACTACGACTAAAGACTACGACTATAACATGAAAAACATACGTAGCACCCCGCAGTTGCGGATCAGAGTGAGGGGGCGGCGGGGATGTCGGCAGTCTGCGAGGCTTGGAAGAAGCTCGCCGCAGGCGCAAAATTTTTCAAGCTATCCAACGAGCCCGCCGCAGGCGCCGGTTTTTTGTTAAAACAACGTAGGTGGGTCGCAGGTTGGGTCGCAGGTGGGTCGCGGGTGAGTCGACGGTGGGTCGCGGGTGGGTCGCGGGCCGGGTCGCGGGTGGGTCGCGGGTGGGTCGAGGATGTGTCGCGGGTGGGTCGCGGGTGGATCGCGGGTCGCGTGTGGGTCGCGGGGTGGGTGGGTCGCGGGTGGGTCGCGGGTGGGTCGCGGGTGGGTCGCGGGTGGGTCGCGGGCGGGTCACGGGGTGGGTCGCGGGCGGGTTTCGGGTGGGTCGCGGGCTGGGTCGCGGGCTGGGTCACGGGGTGGGTCGCGGGTGGGTCGCGGGGTCGGTCGCGGGTGGGTCACGGGGTGGGTCGCAGGGGGGACGACGCAACAAAACAACAAAACAACAACAAGAATCCTCGCCGTGGGTCCCCACTTCAGCTACCCACCCAAGGACAAAAAAAAATGACCGTCTGGGCCCCCTCACTCTAATTTACACATACGGCGACTACAGCTACTACGACCCTACGACCCGACTACTACTACTACTACTACTACTACTACTACTACTACTACTACTACTACTACTACTACTACTACGACTACGACTACGACTACGACTACTACTACACTACTATCACTATACTACTTACTACGCCTACTACTTACTACTACTAATACTACTACTACTACTACTACTACGACGACTACTACTACTACTACTACGACTACTACTGATACCACTACTACTACTACTACTACTACTACTACTACTACTACTACTACTACTACTACTACTACTACTACTACTACTACTACTACTACTACTACTACTTACTACGTACTACTTACTACTTACTACTACTACTACTACTACTACTACTACTACTACTACTACTACTACTACTACTACTACTACTACTACTACTACTACTACTACCACTACTACTAATACTACTACTACTACTACTACTACTACTACTACTACTACTACTACTACTACTACTACTACTACTACTACTACTACTACTACTACTACTACTACTACTACTACTACTACTACTACTACTACTACTACTACTAATACTACTACGACGACTACTACTACTACTACTGCTACTACTACTACTGCTGCTACTACTACTACTACTACTACCACTACTGCTGCTACTACTACTGCTACTACTACTACTAGACTACTACTATACTACTACCACTACCTACAAT